AATAGATTACGACACAAGTGCTGTAAAACACAGATGTGTCGCATCTCAGTTCCCATTCATCAGTGCGGTCCCCACCCTTTTAGCTGGCATGTTGGGAGTATCACATCTCCAAAACATGCATAAGCACATCTAAGCCACTATTTGGTCATTTTGGGCTCACTGGTTAATAAAAGTACCCACTTGGTTGGTTAACAGAAAAGAGTTGATTTTGACCCATACTGCCCAACCCTACTTTACTATAAAATGAATTGCCTTGAAGACACATCAGTTTTAGGTAACTTTGCCAGATTGTTCCACACAATAAAGTCCAAGCCTGTGTTGCATATGTAGCCTACTTCGGTTTCAAATATTGTGAGGCAAAAAGCCACGTGCAGCACAGCAGGCAAACCCATTGCATGAACTTTAAATCTTCCGTTTATATTTTGAATGTCAAGGTGTGAGATATGCCTCATCGCATTTACTGTAGGTCATTACTGGGTCAAATTGACTAACTAAACACATTCCCCATAAAAAAAGACAACATGATTGCTGCATGATGAGGCAGAGGTAATATATTATGCGTGCTTTCCATGTATATGCACAGTTTTTGTTTACTTTTGTATTATAAACAATTTTGTTAGTGTGGGGGGTCACCACTTCATTTTCTTAAAAAAAAAATCAAAACCAGTTGAGAACCACCGATATAGAGAGAATTTTCCCATGAACTGTTGATTTGTAATCAATGTTATGAAAACATTGCATGGAGTATGCATTACGGATGTAAACCACAAACAACAAATAAAGTTTGGGATGCTTCAATTGAATTTTTGATAGTGGAGAAGTGTAAAATGAGAGTTATTATTCTGCTTGACAACTTCAAAAATCCTTTGACTCACCGGTTATATCACAATACCTCTAAGATTAATGATAAATCCAGACTCTTTGTACTGATGGGGTACATGAGAAGTGCACAAACACTCTTTCTCACTCACTGACCCTCTCACACACACATACTTTAGCCATCTCTTGATCCCAGGGGCTCCCATTCTCACAAAGTGGGTTAAATACAGCCCGTTTAGCTCACAGGATAATGCCTTCTCCACTGCTCCCCTTGAAAAGAGTTTCAAGGGTGGGTTAGAGAAAAATTCAATTCACATCTCTGCATCAACACTTCTCAGAAGGAGAAACGAGTCTACTATAAGTGAATCTGTTTATTGACTGGAAAATCTGTGGATTACTGAAACCAAAGGAGTTGCTGAGCCAGGATAGGGCTTGAGAACATCCATTTCCACTTTTTTAATCTTTTCTAAATGAATTGTAACACAAAAATAAAAATGTCCAAGCTGCGGCTAAACAAAAAAAAAAGTGCATGGTGCTTATAACCGCCTAACTAAAAAAATAATAATAAATAGCAACCACAAAAGTATCCAAGTCTGAAAATAATGACAAAATATGAAACTATAAGATTTTAAGTTCATTAAACTGGAAAAAGTGAGATAATACAATGAAGGAGATTGATTTAAGCATCAGAAACTCAAAACATTGTTATCTGAACTACATAAATTATTTAAGTTGATTTGACAAAAGAAAAAATGTTGTGATTACAAATCATGGTTCCACTTTATTTCGATAGTCCACTTTAGACATTCTACTAACTCTAGGTATCTTTGCAACTACATGTCAACTAACTCTCATTAGAGTATTAGTTGGCTGTAGTAGACTGTCAGTAGACTGGTAGGTTATGGTTAGGTACTAGGGTTCAGGTTAGTAGAATAAATTGACTAGTAGTTGCCAAGTTACTTATAGTCAGTAAAATATCTGTTGGGGGACCAACAAAATAAAGTGTTATCAGATATTAAAGGGTTAGTTCACCCAAAAATGAAAATTCTGTCAGTATTTACTCACCCTCATGTTGTTCCAACCCCGTAAGACCTTCGTTCATCTTCGGAACACAAATTAAGATATTTAAGATATTAAGATCGCTCCTGCATAGTCCATAGGCTTCTTGAGGGACTGGCTCTTGCTGTCCTCGAAAAGTCATTAAAGACATCGTTAAAATAGTCCAAGTGACTACAGGGGCTCAATCTTAAGTTTATCAAACGACGAGAACACTTTTGTGCGCAAAAAAACAACAAAAATAACGACTTTATTTCAACTATTCGTTTATTTCTCCCTCTGCGCGAGTCAGGTTACTAGTTTAATAGCGTAAGCTTCTGTTATTGTACGTCACACGCATCACACACACATGACCAGCGTCGGCCAATAGTGAGCCTACGTGTGACGTAGCTCTACGCAATCACACTACGTTAACTGACTTACAGGCTCATGGAGAAGGAAGTGAATAGTTGAAATAAAGTCGTTATTTTTGTTGTTTTTTTGCGCACAAAAGTGTTCTCGTCATTTGATAAACTTAAGATTGAGCCCCTGTAGTCACTTGGACTATTTTAACGATGTCTTTCATGACTTTTCGGGGACAGCAAGAGCCAGTACCTCAAGAAGCCTATGGACTGTATGCAGGAGTGATCTTAATATCTTAAATATCTTAATTTGTGTTCCGAAGATGAACGAAGGTCTTATGGGGTTGAAACAACATGAGGGTGAGTAAATACTGACAGAATTTTCATTTTTGGGTGAACTAACCCTTTAAGCAGATAGTGTACTGACATTTAGTTGGCATGTAACTGCAAAGTTACTTATAGTTAGTAGAATGTCTAAAGTGGACTATCAAAATAAAGTGTTACCCAAATCATGAAAACATTTTTTTACAGTGAAGAATGCTGTCGCTAACTAAAACGTTACGCTTCACATGCCGATCACGTCAAACATTTCGTAGATCATCTGTGTAAAGAGTAGATGAAAACTCAATGACTTTGTTGTAATGATTACATTTAATCTGTGTCATGGAAATGAAGGCATTCCATTTGTTTTAAAATATGATTAGCGAATAGTGCCTGTGGCTTTTCAAAGGACTCGGTGAAACATGTTAAGGCAGTTAACATAAATCTAGCATCAGAACTTTCATTTAAAGTCATCATGTCATATCATGTTAAATCCACCCTTTTTAACCTCACCAACAATAAATTACTTCATAATGGAAATGCCGCACAAAGTTGACGCTATTTTCTGAAGCTAAAGTAACTGCTGAGATCATCAATCCAACAAGAAACAGATGAGATCTTTACGTAATAAAGTAAAGTTAAGAAGCATGAGTAATCAAAGAGTTCTTTTGTCCAAAGTCTCAAAATAAATCAACAAGTGTTAGGTCATCAATACATACTTTGATGAAACTATAAATTCATTTTCATTACTGACTACCATCACAACAGTGTTTTAAAAGTGCTACCATCTAACTTTCCTTTTCTTTTTGCCAAATATTACCTTTGTTTATAGAACTTTAAAACTTTAACTTCCAAAATCACATTTACAATCGAGTTTGCCACTTAAAAAGCTGGTCTAAAGCACTGCACACAGAGAAAAGGTCATGGAGGTTATTCAATCTCCAGCTTTCCCTGAGCACGAAGAAAGCTTTGTTTTGGGGAAACGCGTATTGTTATTTGCAACCACAGAGTTCTCAACAGGACGTTCCTGCCTCCCATCGCTTAGGCATTCATAAACAGCAGGTGGGAAGCCTTGTTTGCTGTGATTTTTAATGCAGAATTTCGCTCAGCGATTAAATATCCCGGTGGGGCGTCCTTTTACAGCTGTTCTCCTCCGGCCTGCTGTGCAGCCTCAGGCCACGATCAGTCAAAGAGCGACAAATTGATGGCATGACAAAAGAAAAGTCCACCATGAGGCAAGAAAGTAGTCTCCACTCTGACAGTCCCAGCACAAAGTCAGGCACTTATATACAAAGTGAAACTGATCTGTGAGTATTAAAAATGACGTGCAGCTCTCTCCCAACAAGGTAACATTTTATAATAAATTTCGTTTCATTAATAAAACTCAACTGAAAAAATGAACTGAGGTTTAATGATTTGTATATAACATGTGTAAGCATTTCAATTACATTAAATTGATCTGTTATTCATGATATAATGTTGAATTAGTTCATTAGTAAACATTAACAAGCACATTCTCTCATACTTCTAGCTACGTGAATATATTAACTAATGATCCGTTAATCATTATATAACGTTTGTTAATGATTTATTAATGAAAGTTGTTATAAAGTGTTACCCTCAACAATACTACATCGCCATAAAACAATCAAACAGACATATAGAGTCCCACAGTGAACACTTGATCTCTCTAACCCTGGCACATCAAGAATTTACTACCTCCCATAAATCTATAAACACAACCAGGCAAGCAAATCTTCATGGTATATGTTATTTGAGATGCAACCCTCAAAAATGCAAATGGTACACCCACAAACTTTGATGCAAGTTTGTCAATTATCCCTCTATAATGTGATGACAGTGATCTCTGTTAATCAAATATTTATAAAGAGGTTCTCAGTTTCTTAGATCTCTCGGTTTCATTCCAGCCTAACATGACAGCTGTGCATTTTCTTAATTAAATGGTCTGCAACTGAAGTCATGGCAGAACGATACACATGGGAAGAGACATAACTTCCGAAACTACTGTACGGTGTAGGCAGATCCCACACACCACCACAGAAACTTTAAACAAGACCAGGCTAATGCTAACACAAAATTACTGAGAAAGACACCAGATGGAGTAAAAGTTGGCGTCAGAACTTTATAAAAAAAAATAAAAACACACTCCAAACCTGTCAAAATATTTTGATAATATGTGCATCACTTAAGTTTTGAAGATTAAAAAAAATATGAACAACTATTTTACAAAAATATAGTTAAAAAAGTGTAGATAGATAGATAGATAGATAGATAGATAGATAGATAGATAGATAGATAGATAGATAGATAGATAGATAGATAGATAGATAGATGGATTTTTTATGCGGTTTATTTTGTTGTCTATATGTCTCGTCGACTTTTCAACAAGTCTAACACACACATGTGCCAGTGGTCCAGCTCGCATCTGTGTAACTTACTCACCTCTCCTCTGCGATGCAGCCGGTGACAGAGCAATGAACACACAGATCAACCGCTCCAGAAACAACAGACACCTGCAACGACACATTTGCTTAGTTTTTTTCTCCCCATCTTCACCATTTACCCTCTAAAAAGATTCTAAAGTGCATTTCTAACTTATACCTTCTAGCCATTTCAGTTTTTAAAACTGATCTGTTCAGACAGCTACATGGAATCCTGGTTGGAAGGTGGATGAAAGTTTCCCGCTTTAGAATGAAAGCAACCCCGCCAGTGCAACAGCTGATGAGAGTGATCCGAGAGACCACTGATGAACGAAACGGAGAGAGAGGACAGCGGCACACGAACACCTCTGGGTCCTAAAGCCTACCGACACAACCCACCTGACCCCTTTTGACGCTTTTCTCCAAGAGGTCCTCGCTGCAGTCTGTAGCACGATGACGTAGCTGGACGGTCCAATACGTAGTGGATGGATGTGTGTTTTGGTGACGTCATTTACGCATGCGCAGTGCCGATCTCTGATTATAATTCGAATGCATTGGTTTTAAGTGATATGTAAGCTCAATAATGTACTGAGATGATGTTCAAACTGTGTAGTATAATACTGTTAAATAATTATAAGTAATTATTGATGAATAAGTAAGGAAAATGCTAAAATAATAACAGCATGGGGAAAATAAATCTTGTAATAATAAACTCGCATGTTATACATTCAGAATTGCGAGAAAAAAGGTCAGAATTCTGACTTTATAGTACACAATTGCGACTTTATTTCACGCAATTCTGTCTTTATAACATGCGATTGAGGCTTTATTTCACCTAATTATTTCTCTATAACATGCGATTAAGGCTTTATTTTACCTAATTCTGTCTTTATAACATGCGATTGAGGCTTTATTTCACCTAATTCTGTCTTTATAACATGCGATTGAGGCTTTATTTCAAGCAATTATGTCTTTATGACATGCGATTTTATTTCAAGCAATTATGTCTTTATAACATGCGATTGAGGCTTTATTTCACGCAATTCTGACTTTATATCTCACAATTCTGAGAAGTAAAGTCAGTATGCGAAAAGTATACTCGCAATTGTAAGGAAAAAGTCGCAATTATTAAAAAAAAAAAGTTTTATTCTGAAAGCTCTGAAAATAAGAGCTTCGCTCGTGACCACATTTAAATGTAGCTATTCTTGGAAGATCAACGATTGTTCACCAACTCTCTACACTAACTAGGCCTATGAATTATTAATATGCATGTGCCATCAGCGTTTATCACAGGATCGCGTTTAAAGTCTGTTTAGAGAGAACGGTGTCATCCCCTAATTTAATAACAAATTATCATTTCGACAGAATCAAAACTAACTAGCTAGCTGAGTAGCTGTAAAATAACATTATTCATGAACCGCTATAAAGCAATCTGTTACATTAAATTAAAGCTGCTTTGAAACAATCTAAATTGTTAAAAGCGATATATAAATCAAGATGACTTGACTAGTGCGCATGCGCGCGTTACAGGGTCCAACACGTATTGGACCATCCAGCTACGTCATCGTGCTACAGGCTGCAGCGAGGGGTGTCTCCTTTTATTCTGTCTTGTTTTCTTGTAATATTTTTTTTAACTTTTCTCTTGACTTTATAGCAATTTTAGCAGAAAGTTGTTTTCTTAACAACTCAACTTTTTTGTTATAATGAAAGGCCTAACTAACAGGGTTCTTGAGGCATCAATAAATCCTTTAGTTTTTTCCTGGTCTAGAAGTGTACAAATTTAATATATTTTTTAATTGAATATTGCAGCTCCATGGATGAGCGATTAGATCAGATTTCTTTTCTTGAGAGAAAAAAAAAATTAAAAGACAACACTTGAATTATTTTTTTAACCAAGTAATTACAAAATTCAAAATTTTAAATTCTAATGAAAAAATGTTTTAAGTGATATACAGTGATTAAAGGAGAACTCTCGCGCAAAATGAACCTTTGGTCTAATAAAACATTGGTACCTGGTCAACCGTTCTCTTGAGATCTGTTTTCATGATAATCGAATGTAAAGAGTTTTATCTCTAAAACTGTTTAGCGTATAATGCTAGTATATGGGGGCATATAATAAGTAAAAAGAAATCGCTAGTTAATACCACTAGCAAGGCTCAAAATAGCCCCACACTAACACTTAACATAAGGGTCCCAACATGCAAAACAAAGCATTGAGAACTTTGTAAGTGTACAGACCGTTTAACAAGAAGATACTTTATAAAGACAGTCTACTTCTGTACACTTACAAAGTTCTCAATGCTTCATTTTGCATGCAGGACCCTCATTATGTTACTGTGTTAGTGTGGGGCTATTTTGAGCCTTGTTAGTGGTATTAACTAGCGATTTCTTTTTACTTAATAAATGCACCCATTAAAGGTGCAATGTGTAACAAAGTTGAGTATTTATTAACAGAAATGCAATATGACATCCATAACTATGTTTTCAGTGGTGTATAAAGAACTTACTTAATTAGCCGTAATGTTTTTATTACCTTAGAATGAGACATTAATAGCTCCATAACCGAGGGAATCCCCTTCTATGAAGGTCGCCATGTTGTGACGTCATATTCCTACCGTAGCCGAACGCGAACAAACAGCGCTACAGAACGCGTTTCATCACTACCTTGAAAGAGAAGTAGCGGAAAGCTGGAAGCTAGCCTTACACTCCGTGAGTAGTGACTTTTCCCTTGTGAGTGGTGTAAAATATGTAGTTGGGATTGTTTCATGTAACTTAGTTCTCCCTCGCTGTGTTATGGGTTTGTTGTGTTGGGGATAGATGTGCTGTTACGTTCGTGAGACAGCTGATGATTAGTATTCATTTCATATCATTGACCGTAAAACAGTACGTTACAGGAATCACTAACCCGTCGATAGAGACTTTTACTAAAGTCTTTTATCACTAAAGTCGATCGCGAAGATTTTTCAAAATCAGAGAAAAAAAGCCTATTGTGTGTAGTAAATAGTATCTATGGGATGCGGAGATGACATGATTGTAACAGCTCGCGCACTTCCGACCTTTGGACTCATGCGATGCCGACGCGTCCCAGCTCAGCCACAGTAACAGCTCATATTAGCCAGCTAAACTATTACTACCCTGTTAGAAAAAATATATAGCTGCTCCCTCGCTGTATTATGGGTTTGCTACAGTATGTGGGGAGAAATGTGCTGCTGGTTACGTTTGTGAGACAATCAGCTGATTATTATTTTATTAAATTATATATTAAAACCCTTGATCCTCACCTGACTATGGCTTTGTAAACAGACAGTATTCATGATGTGGTTTATAATGGACTGTGGTACAGAAACAGTGACAATGTTACACACTCTTGGCTTACTCTGGCTATTCTCTGCTGTCTCAGCCGACGAGATGTTTGTCCCGTTTTAGCAACCGTAGCTTCTTCGAAAGGGAGGGGTGAGCAGTGGGCTGAGCCCTTAGTGCAAACCTGGTGCAAACTCGCAACCGAACCACTAGATGTCGCTAAAAGTCACACATTGCTCCTTTAACTAGCGTTATACGCTAATCAGTTTTTTGATATTAAACTCTTTACATTTGATTATCATGAAAACATCTCAGAGAACGGTTAACTAGGTACCAAAGTTTTATTAGACCAAAGGTTCATTTTGCGCCGGAGTTCTCCTTTAACTCTGGTTAATTAAAAATTCCTTGTAAAAAAACTATTGGTGTTTTGTATTTGTGTAAACAGCAACTAGTAGGGAAGAAAAAATATAAATGTTAATCATATGGCTTTATCTAAAAGACTGCAGAAACCTGTGTGAGAAGAAAAAAAAACGTTTGGATTTCTTTGATGAAGCCGTGTTGTTTTGCATACTTGTTATTTAATGTTTTGCAGAAATAAGGACAAAAATTTTATTTTTGGTCAACCAAGGGGACAGACCTGCTGCAAACTCACATCATTGGTTGAGTCAATGTTGCAGAACAATGTTTTGATAACCTACAGTAAATGGCTTAGACTGTCTCTGCTTGTTAAACTTGAATAGGAGACCGTATTTTCACATGGGAAATTTAAGCTACTTTGTTTGTACTGTGGAAAGTTTGAACTGCTTTTAAGAAAAGGGGTCATCAAAAGAGAAACAAAAACTGATCCAGTCTCTGACTAGGAACAATTCTGAATGTGTACAGAGTTCCTCGGATGCTTCCAGCCTTAATTTGTCTTTCCGATGAACTTGTCACCAGCGCTCTTGAGCGAAGCATGACCTGGAGTGCAGTTTTAACTTGGGGTTACGTGGTGTACTTGTGCAATGCAAAGGATAAGGTGAAGTCCATTGTGAGCAGAGTGCTTCTCACACATAAAAGTTAATCACTCCTCAAATATGTCTGTCACTCTCTGGTATGCTGTCAGTTAGAAAGGACTCATAAAATCCGGAGCCAGATAAGATGTGTCCAATGAGCTCAGGGCATGATAATTCTTCAGATTCTTACCGATCGCGAATGCTCATTTGGGCAAACATGCTTCTAGACATAGTATAATATCAAACAAAGACCCTTTTAAGAGTGATCACAAAATATTTCCGTTTTTTTTTTCTTCAACAAATGTGAGGTAAAAGAATGTGTCGCCCAATCAGATTTATTGCAGCAGGGTGAAGTGGGTCAATGAGAGTGCAGCTTTTGTTTTCCCAGTCAGGTCAGCTTTCTTGGGAACACTTGGTCAACAAGAGAGGAAGTGGAAACAGACAGACACACACACACACACACACACACCTACGACTTCAGGCACACCCACTGGTACATCAAGGCCACCTCATCAAAGCATCTCCAGCATGTTCTTAATACGAGCACTCTGAGTAACCTCTCACAAAGATGGGGAGGATCGCAGAGGAGTCTGATGCTAGCGGATTTCAGTCACTGCCTCTGGAGCCAACGCTATGATCAGAAGCTCATAGGCTGCTGTTGAGACATGTTCACAGCCCTGATGAGCTTTGCATTCCTATAAAAGCAAAGAATGCATTAAGATGAATGTAAATACATATAGGAAAATGTTGAATATTAAAGGGATACTCCACCGTTTTTTCATATTAAACTATGTTATTCCATTAACTAAGACGAGTTGATACATACCTCTCTCGTCTCAGTGCGTACACTAAATTGCGCGCGAGATACTTTGTTAGCACTTAACTAGCCCAGTTCATTCATTGGGATCCAAGCAGAGAAGCAACCAAACACCTCCACGTTTTCCCAATTTAAATACAGATACACGAGTAGTGTCACTCGACCAAGAATGGTGACACAGAAAAAAACGTTGCGCTTTTCTAAGTGTGTAAAGTGGATAACTATATAATGTAT